GAGTTGAGCACTAGCATGGATGGTGTACTAATACCGACTGTAAACAGCAAACGCAACCACAATTTCTTACAAATTGCAGAACCGCAACAAAGTTCTCAAGTTGCTTTCACCAGCAGCACTTCGTGCAAAGCAACAGAAATATTGTTGACAATATGCAAGCCAATTTGTTGCCAAGTTATAAACTGTTATCGACTTATTAGAGGCAGCACTTCCATCTGGGTACGCGTGGAGGCATCTTCGTTGACTAAAGAACGAGATCCAGGACTACGTACAATAACCACTGAACCCAACGCTGTACAGACATGTCATATACGACGTTAACAGAGATATGTATATCCGCCTTTCTTAGATCTCTCTTCGTGAATACCATCGTCGTATTTTAACCACCACACACTGCTGTGGAAGAGCTTCAGATGCCTCGAGAGATCTCGCGTGTGTTCGCATGGTCTGGGATGTGGTAGCCCTCGGCTAGTTCTTCGATCCTCTTCAGGAAATCATGTAGCGTAAGTTCGTGCCAGCGGCGTCCGTGTATGGATGTGTGAATCCGATTGGAGGGGATAGAGTCTCAAGCGATAGTTTCACGAGGCTCTCCTTTTCAGCATTATAGTGCGTTTGCCCACCGAGTTTAAAATCGCACGACGTTATAACGTTAAAAGGTTTAGAAGGCTTTAAAAAAGAAACAGAGTTTATGAAGATATTCAGAGGGTCAGTCTCATATTATGTTACTAATTTAGAACTATAACTTGGTGAGTTCTTTTACATTTTACAGAGCAAAAATGCAATGCAATTACCTCTTCCTCTATATTCTTCTCAGAGCCAGTTGAAAATTTAGTGGCCTTTTTTTTAGTCTACAAATCTTTTTTCACCACGAAAAGTATCTACCATTATTTTATTTTCCTGGATCATTTGGTCTCCTATTAAAATAATTTATTTAAATCATTTAAAATTCACGATTACAAGGTTAATAAATACATTTAACAAATAAATTTTTTTTTAAATGCCATTCAGTGTAAGAGATTATGCATATTTTTGAGCACCCCATCGCTCCAAAAACCACATTAATGTAAGCAAATGAGCACTAAAAGCAGTTACTTGCCACGATCCAACCAACACATACATACACACATGCACAATTTTATACTTTTATGTGTGGTAGGTAGCATGCTGCACAATAAATAGGCTTTAATTGCCAGCTGTCGGTGAAAATGGGCAGTGCGTGGTAATGCATCCGCCACAAGCGCGTAAGATAATGTGGAAAGGAAATAAGAAAGTAAAAGGCGTAAACAAAAATCAACAAAATACAGTTTCAGTGCATTGCATTTAAACTGCAGGCAAAACAAAAATATCAAGAAATCATGCAATCGTACATATTTAAGATAACAAACTTGTTTTCTTTCCTTAAATTCCCTCGCAATCACTTGAATGCATAAGTATGTAGAGGCAGACATAACATTGCATATACATACATATGTAAAGTACACTTTTGGCGTCTGAGGCTACTTCGTTACTTTCTCTATTTCATATTTATCTCCTAATCGATATTTTCATTTGCAACAAACGTTTACATGAAAAAGATTGAGTTTTTTTTATCAAATATGTAAATGGTGCATTTTTGCATATTTCTGGCGCCTCACATTCGTTAATCGCTTTGTCACTTTCTCCATCAATACATACATACATAAGTATGCATTTGAATGTATTTACATTTTATATTTACAGTGCCGGACAAAAGTATTGGCACAGACAATTTTTCGTAATATTTGCAAAGTTTTTTAATCTAATGTATTTTCGATAATTTTTTATAAAAACATAGTTCTTCCTGCACCAAAAAACATAAAAACTAAATCTCTAAACTTTGTGCAGAGCTCGGGAAAATTCAATGCATACTAATTTGCATCTTTCTATTCAGATTTAAAAAAATCCTAGTATGCAGTTTTATAGCCCATCTGATTTTAGTATAACAAAGTGCAAGCTTTTAGTTGCTAAAAAATCGCGTTGATTATTGGCAATTTTTTTTCACTCAGGTTCTACCATACAAAGTATGTTCGACAATATTTTTTTTTTTATGAAGAAAATGAGCAACACCTTCCAATAAAAAAATTGTCAAAAATCAACGCGATTTTTTAGATACTTCAAACTTACACTTTGTTATACTAAAATTGATAGGGCTATAAAACTGCATACCTAGAATTTTTCTAAAATAGAATTTTTCTGAATAGAAAGTTACAAATTAGTATGCAAATTTATTGAATTTTCCTGAGTTTTGCACAAAGTTTAGAGATTTTGTTTTTTTGGTGAAGTACGAAATATATTTTTAATAAAAGATATTGAATATAAATTAGAATAAAAAACTTTGCATACTTTGCGAAAAATTCTCTGTGCCAATACTTTTGTCCGGCACTGTATGTAATTATGTAGCTATTTTGTCATTAACGCTCGATAATTTAAGCAAATGGGAGAATAATTAAAATTTTATTGATACAATTTTTTATGATTACGTTAGCAAAAAGAAAAAAAGTACGAAGTAGACATGTGTTCTGAGATATTACGATCGCTCACTTTGGAATAATCAATATTTGGCATGTACAGTAGGGTGGTAAAAAAAAAAAGTTTAAGATGTTAAGCTTTCGCCCCCTAGGATTTTTCTAAATGGAAAATGAACACCCGTATTTTTTTAACAAAATTTTATTTTTAAACTGCCTCAAAGCCTCAAAGGGCTTTTTCGTAGAAATGGTATATAATTCTTGAAAATCGATATTTTTCGAACTCGGTTTCAGTTCGGGAGACTTCCGTTAATAATACCCATTAGTTTATTTCACCATTTTGTAATACAAAGGATTTTTGGGGTTTTTCCGGAACCTATAAAAAATAGTTTACTTTAAAAAATGGTTTAATAAACAATTGGAAGTCTTCTTAAGAGATATGTATATTGATTTTCAAGTATCAAAAAATATTGATTTTTAAAAATTCTATACCATTTCTATGAAAATTGGTTTTTCCCCATACAAAATAGATGGAATAATACATGAGCTTTGAGGCCGTTCTAAATATCACTTTTTTCAAACAAAAAAAAATAAATACGTTTACATTTTTACCATTTATTTTTTTACCACCCTTATTTACATACATACTATATATGTTGCAAAAAATAACCATTATCTTCTTCAGTAAATTGAAGATATGGGGAGCTGACATTTTTAATGAAAAGGAAAACCACATAACAGCGGGAAATTTTCACCGAAAAAATAAAAATTCAAATTTAACGCTTCTTCTGGCTTTAGTTTCATTGTGATCAATACCTGTAAAACATACCCTTTGAAATATAGAACTCAAAATTCACATAAAAATTTCAACTTAAAAACAGTGGGAACTGCGCTTGTGCCTGAATATAATATAGGTGAATTTACACAAGGTTGTGTTACTGGAGCAGTTGATTTATTTTTTTTATTCGCTTATATTTATTTTTCTTTGTGCAGTTTCCCTATCCATAGTCAGACTTCCGAAAATCATATAAATCCCATATTACAGTGATGAGCAGGGCTTAATATTGATATGACTAAGCTTGTTGGACAAGGATATGATGAAGCAGCAAATATAGCTGGTGATATGGGTAGAGTTCAAACAAGGATCAAGAAAAAATATCCAAAAGCAAGGTATATCGACAGTTCAAGTCAACTTTTGTATCTTTCTGTGTCTAATGCTATGTGAATTCCTACGGAAATGTCTTGTAGAGTTGGGTGATCTCGTGGATTTTGTGGAACAACGTTATTAGTTACTGTTACTTCGCAGTCACAGTGATTTAAACCGTGAATTAGACAAAAACAGTGACAGGAATGGTGGAGATTAGAAATCTTTGAACTAAGGGCTTAAATAATTCACAGTTGCAGTTTCTGGATACGTAGCTGCGACAGTTGCTTTATCACAGTCACAGTTCATAGCAGTTGCTGTTACTGCTATTGCGAAAAGTGCAATCCTAATACAAAAACATCGCAAAAATAATTTGGTAATTCTTGATTTGATACTTAAGTTTGAAAATTTTATTTTTTGCTTTTCAGTTCATTTGTATTATATTTTTTAAACTTGGTAAATTTTTTTGGTAAAAGGCTCTACGTGAATCAAAAGTACACGTACAGTAACTTTTTTTCACGAAAATAAATTTGAATGTTTAGCGCATATACTGCTATCTGATGTTTTTTCTAAGTATATGAGAAGTTGGTAAAAAATTCAATTGTTTTGAAAAAAATAAATTTTTTTATAAAAAATTTTGAAATTTTGCAAACTGACCAACAAAAAAAAAATAGACGGTTGTCGCGTGTTTGAAAATTTTCGATTAATTTAACTGTTTAACCAAAAAAAAATATTTAGCTCAAAGGAAAATATTTTTGAAGTGGGTTGCCATGTGTTTCAAAATTTCAATTCGATTAAATTAATAAGATAAGTAACATATTACAACATGAGTAACAGAAAGCTAAATTCGTAAAATATTTTTGAAGAGTGTTGCCATCATTAGAATTTTTTTTTTAAATTAAATTGATAACGTAAAACGAAGTGTTGCAATAAGGGTGTCACATTAAGGTGGCTTAAAAACAGGATTCAATAATAAAAGGTTTGCTCAGAAAACAGTTTTCTTTGACAAAATCGACTCCCTTCGTGTTTGGGTGCGTGTGTGTGTGCAACCTTTTGTTAGGAAGTTAAGGGAGTGTCAAGACTTTAATGTCACTAGTAAGCAAACTTTAATTAAGATTGCCACCTGTTTGAAAAATTGCATCCGAGTTAGTGAAAAAATGCCTTGTTACGAGCCTTCTAAATGCTAGAATTATGCTTTCAAAGTTAACACACTTCTAACTAACTTACAAATTAAAATTCAGCCACTTTCTAAACCGGTTTTTGGGTCCGCTGGCGTAGACAACTACATACTTATACTAACCAATTTTCATACATTAATCAAATTATACCGTTATAAAAAAAAATTAGCTATAATTACTTTTCAACAGACTCACCTTTCTTTTTGTTGTCTTGTATCTCCTTTGCGGCAACCGCTTCCTTTGCATCAGCTTTTGCGGAAGCAACAGCCACAGCAGAGTGCAGCAAAAGCAAACAGATGCCAATGGCCAAGTGTTGTCTTTGAAATGCCATTTCGTTGATTTAAAAGTGACAGCAGAGTTAAAGCTTACAACGAAGATAAAATCTATACAATTTGTTTTGGTTTCTTTTTGTTTGTTTTTGATTACCGTATTCTCTGTTTTTTTTTTTGTAAAAATTTAAATAAAAATTATTGGTCACTAGCGCTAAAGAAATAAAAGTGATATGCATATGAATAAACAGTTAACTGTACACACGGATTATGTGTAAGATGCAGCAAAAAAAAAACAACAAAGCCATGGCGTGGCGACAGTGAAAAGCACAAAAATTTCACTTTCGTGACACAGCAGAAAAAAAGTTTAAGAAACAAAAATTCACGCTGTCGTGACGTTGAGTTTTTAATGTTTTTTGTTTTTTTTTTTGTTGATTCAAACGGTTAGCAAGTTTTTCATAGCTTCGTGGCAGCTGGCGCTCGGCCCGTTGTGGCTAGTTGATGCTGTTTGCGTTGTGTACATTTGTTTGTTTGCTGGTGTGTGTCTGAGTGTTAATGCCAGTAAGCGATTTGGATTTGGCGTGTGTGGGGTCAGTGTTGCGGCCAACGCACTTTCATGCCACTGATTGGCGGTATAGCATGAGGAAAAAATGAAAAAAAAAAACAAAAAATTAAGGTAGCAGACAGCAAGCTGTACAGCGGCTACTGTTGGCTAACCGATAATTACGAGCAGGAAAAGTTGGTTTTATTGCTGTGTCTTGTGGTCGAATGTGTTTCACTTTTTGTTTATTTTCATTGCAGTTCTTTTTTACAGCGTATGTATAATTTTGGCTTTTAATTTAGATATTATTATTTTGCACAAAATTTTCATATTTTTTTTTTGTTTTGCAGCTACCCTACAAAATTCGAGCTAAATTTACAAAATCGCACACACGTTTCGCAATTCAGAGAGTCGGTCGAATAGAAGTCCAATAAAAAAAAAAAAAACAAAAAACAAATAAGAAAAACAAAACTCGATAAACCAGCAGCAGTAAAAATCAAAAATATAAAAAGGCGAAAATGGCGTATAAAAATTATGAAAACCGACACTTTTCGCGGCTTTGCAAACTATTAGAGCATAAACTTATTGAATTCAATGCGATCGCGTGCAAACTGGAATGCAAAAATATTAACAAAACAATAACAAAAAAAAGAAAAAAAGAAAAAACGTTGAAAAAAGTAAGCTCAAATTGGAAAAGTATAACATTAAAAAAGCAATGAAAAACAATGTTTGAATGGGCAGAGGCAAACAAGTATCAATTAAAATACAAATAAAAAGCGCATTAAAATACAATTAACACAGTGCGCACGAATTTGCTTAAAACACATTGAAAAGGATTTTCATGTACTCTTGTACACTCCCATGCACTTGAATAGGGACAATGCTTTTTCCTTGTTTTTTTATGGCGTTTTTCTTTTTCCTTAATTTCCCCTATTTTTTTAGCTAATATACAAAAATAAAAAAAATTAGTATGGAATAATTTTATTAGAGCAACAGAAGCCAAATTAACAATTTTAAGAATTTTTGTCTGTCTGTATGTCAGTACTTTCAGTTTAAGTAAATTGCTAAGATAAAGTAAATATTGCAACATGGATGTCAAAATAAGGTTTAAGTAGAGTTAAAGCCGAAAATATTTTTGTGCAAGGTTGCCACCTGTTTGAAAATTTTGGTTTAATTAAAATCATAAGATAAACAATATGGGTACAAAACTAGAGGTTTAGGAAAGTTGAAAGCCGAAAATATTTTTGTGGAGGGTTCACATGCTTGAAAAATGTTATTAAATTAAATTAAATATTAAAGTACGGATACTAAACTAAAAAAATATTTTTAAGGAGGGTTGCCATCTATTTGAAAATTTAAATTTAGTTAAATATTACAATATGGGTATTAAAGGAAAGTATTTGAGAAATCTTTGATTTAGAAATAACTTAAACTAGCAAGTACATAATTCGCAGCGCCTTCAAAGTATTTTTTTTACTTACTTCCTCGCACAACATCTAGAACTACTCGTTAATATTGTAGTATGTATTTGTATAGTAGGCCGATTTTTTTCAAATTACAAAAAATGGATTTCCGTTCCTTATGGAAAAATAATATCCGATATTTGAATATTTTTTGCGACAAATATTGAATTAATACACCTTTAAAGAAAATGAGCGATATGTAAACTCGAGTTATAGGATTAAATTTTTACTAAATACCTTCGAAACTGCATTAACCCACATTCATGAAGAATGCTTCTTAAACCGTATTTTATTTTTTTTTTTGAAGTTCTAACTTCGTAAGGGGGTAACAACAAAAAAACGCTTTTAAGACGCAGTGAAGCACGCCGGGTATTTGATAGTTTCCACATAAAAAAGGCGAGCATGCGTTATATTGGCAATTATTGCGGAAGAGTGCTAAAAAAAAAATTTCAAAAATCAGAAATAATTCATAGCTACTTAAAATTTGCTTTTTGTTATACCGAAATTGAATGGGCTACAAAATCGCATGCCTGGAAAAATTCTGAGAAAAAATTTAAATATTTAGGATATTATTTTTAATATTAATTAATTTAAGTTTGAGACTTGTGATTATGAAAAATAATGAAAAGTAAATAAAAAAATTAAAAAAAATAATCAAAAGCATTGCCCTTATTCAAGTGCGTGGGAGTGTATGCATGCAGATTATTTCTTGCGCTTTTAAAACATTTTCTGCGTTAGCAAATATGAAATATTTTGTTTTTATTTCAAATTCCGCTTTTACTGCAATTTTTCACTTTACTCATACTCTTATTGGTTTGAATCATAAACTTTTTCTCATGCGCACTTAATTGGTTTTATGACTTTTTTATTGAGCAGCTTTTTTCCTATAAATTTGCTGCACACGGAAATCAATTAACTTGTCTGGCTATAAGTCTGCAATAAGCCGGCGAAAAAAAAACGTTCATTTCATAAATTATGCAGCAAAAGAGTTATGTAAAATTATTAAACAAAGCCACACAAACACACACACACGCACATACACACAGAGACACTTCCGCCGACAATAGTACCTTTTTTTGTAATGAATAAATTTCCAACACTTCGAAGATCAACGTTCAACAGACAACGATTAGCGCTTAGCTTTCGAAGATTAACATAAAAACACTAATCACAATTTAATTGTCATTCAAGTGGCTTTGTCTTTTTTTTGTTAAATATGTAGATATTTGTGTGTATACTATCTCTGGGGACATTTATTTGCTTGTTTGCGCAACCGAAAGCAACACTTTAAATCCTCGACTACAGATGACAATAACTTTCTATAGACAAAAAAAAAAACAGCGAGCGAGACAATAAGAGCGAACGTATTAGCAGTTAAGGCGATGAAAGTCAACGATGAGATGTTATATACCACCGCTGCGCCCACTTCATAAAACTATAGATTTGAGTTAGACTCGAAGAAACACAGTTAGACGCGTGCACTTTAGCGACAATGCCAAATTTCGTGCTCACGACTTCAGCGTACGAAAGACACGCTTTTCGAGCTAAACACTAAAAATGTCAGTAAAACGCGAGAAAAAGCCAATATTATTATTGTTGTAACCAAACGATTATTTGCAGTCAAGAGTGTTGACAATCACTTTCACAGCTTTTCTTTCAAACCAAAGTTGTTCTAATCTTTCTTCAACACATTTGTGGCTGCATTGGTCTTTTTTTGCACATATATTTCTTTATAATTCTTTCTTTGCAAATTACGTCTCACAAGCAAATCACTTAATGTTTCACCACCCACTATTTAGTTGGTTTACCTAACGAATTGTTCCAAACGCATGCGCTCTCTACGAACGCCAGACTCCGTCTGCTTGTGACTCCATAAAAGTTACAGTGTTTTAAGTCGCCTACTACATAAACTAAATTGGCTTTGTCGCTCTCGCTGTTTGAGTAGTTAGTCGCCTCTCAAATGAACTCTGTAACTCTGTGCAGAGCGAATGAACTTCTCTCTGCACTAACTGTTGCCGGTTTTTATGAATGAAAATGAATATTGAATTTTGTTTTGGTTTTGGTTCTTTGTTTTGCTGACTCTTTTTTTTTTGTTTACTATGCTTTCCACATTGCCCAGCACAGCTGGCATGCTCGATCAGCTGTTTCTGAACCGGTACTTTTAGTAAATGACCGTTTGATTGCTAGCATGTATTTCATATGTATCTGCCTGCGAGTAAACGTATTTATGTTTGTATGTTTTGGTTTTAGTTAATCTTGCAAATAGCCAGAGAAGAAAGAGCACGTGGTGGTCAGTTACAATTGTCGATATTTGACCGTTGCTGCTTACTTTAGCTATTCTGCTTAGACCAGCAATCTCTTACAGTTTTAGCTACTAAATAGTTTATTTTCCTGACTGCGTAAGAACCTGGCATGTTTGTTGTGTCCGTTTTTTGTTTCTCTTTGTTTTTGCCTCCAAAATACGTCGAAAGCGATTAACTGAAGTTATGATATGCCAATTGTAAAATTTTTATGCATTCGTTGATGCGTCTTATTTGCACAGCTTTTTGCCGAATTTTTCAAAATGAATACCTTTATGAATCCATTTGTAATTACAAGTGTTAATTTGTAAGTACCAGCAGCACGTAAAGGTGAAAATTGTATTATGCTTCTGAGTTTTAGTCTCTATTGGCCTTTTTTGGGGAAGTCAATACTGTTCCGCTGAAGTTGGTACGAAGGGTCATCGCACGAATGCATACCAATCAGCGTGACTAAATTTTTTTGTATATGGGGCGTTCCATACAAACACCGACGGGGTTCACACTTCATGTGTTTGATTTGTTTGAAATTTTTAGGGTTGATGCATAAACATAAATAATAAATAAATGTGAAATTTGAGCTTAATTAATACATTTTCATAAACTTTACAGCACAAAAACAAAAACAAATCGATTTAATAGTTTTTCAAATATCTCGAGAACGGGGCAAGGTAGAATTTGAAAAAAAAAACACACACATACACACATCAAAATTCTCTATGAAGAGAAATAATAAAACATTTTTTTTTTCTTGAAAATTTTTTCATATGTAAATTTTTTATTCAACAATCGTTAATTATTGTTGCTTTTTCCCACTTTTTCATTTGTTAAGCCAACACAAAATGATAAAAAAATTTGTTTTTGAAAATATGCCATCTCAAAAAAAAAATTGAGAAAAATCACAATGCACTCTACAATAATTTGAGTTATGAATTTTTTTTACACCGAAGTTGAGTAAAACGAGTTCGTTACGAATTTAAATTTTTTTTAAATTTTTTTTGAATTTTTTTGAGTATGCAGTTTTGTAGCTCATTAAATTTTAGTATAATAAAGTGCAAGCTTTAAGCTACTGCAAAATTTCGTTGATTTTTAATATTTTTTATGCTGCCGGCTTTTTGCACCCCGAAGTGTGAACCCCGTCCATTTTAGTATGGAACATTCCACATGTTTGAAGGTTTTTGGAGGACTTTGGAAGTACTTCGAATTAAGCCGATACATTCCAGTTTGTCGAAACTTTATAACACATCATCATTCCATAACTATATTTCGATAATTTAAGATAAATTTCGATAACTGTGCCTTTAAAGAGCTCGATAAATTTCGAAAACTCAAATATTTATAAATTTTGATATAAATCGATAACTCGATACACTTTGGATACCTCTATAAACTCCGATAACTCGGATAATTTTGATAGCACCATATATTTTGAAAGCTATCGCTAAATTTTTCGATAAATCGACTAATTCCAGTAAAGAAGTAAATATCGATAAATCGATAAGTTCAATAAATATCGATAATTCAATAAATATCGATAACTTCATAAGTTTGATAAGCTTGACAAATTTCGATAACCCCTTTAATTTTTATAGCTCGATAACTATCCGTAAATTTCGACCACTAATTTTCTGTGTCTATAAATATCAACAACTCAATAAACATAGATTAATTCGGTGCGCTGCGTTAACCCAATAAACATGGATTAACTTCGGTGGTTCGATAAATTTCGGAAACATGATTACTCTCGATAACTATATTTTTTATGACTGAATTTTCGATTATTATCGAAAAATTGCAATCCATTTTTTTTAGCCTTTAAGTTACCCTAGTTCTAATGTATTTTTCTTTGTCTTCATGACGTTTAGATATTTGTACACAAAACTAACTGTTTTGTAAGGGAAGAACGTGAGTCCAGAAAATTCATAATAATCTAGGCTATCGCTGAATCCATCGTAGTCCGATTTCGTATTTATTCTGATTAAGTGATGGGATTTTTGTAGATTTCGCGAAAAAGCGGACCGTACAGTGACCGGACAGTGATAATCATAAAATACATAATTTTCTAAGCAACAAATTTTATCCTGCTTATATTTTTATGTATACCTACTCAGCCACCAACACGTGTTGCTAATCTGGATTTTAAAACAATAACATTTAAAAATAAAGAGAAGTCACTGGCTGTGAATTCGATTTATTAAAAATTAATTTGTCAAAAATTTTACTTGGCAGCTGCAATAAACGAATACCTAAATTCCAAGCAGCCAACCAACCAATATAAAATTCCATATGACAAGCTGTCAAATTGCGTAAAAAGTGAACAAGGTCGTTAATGAAATTGTTACGCATACGCAACAATTGAATTGAAGTGAATTGGGTATAAGTAAACAGTTATGCGTACTGGAAAAAGAAATTCAATATATTGCTAATTGGCAGGAAGAACGCCTTAAATCTAAAACCAAAAACAATTGAATTGAAGTGAATTGGGTATAAGTAAACAGTTATGCGTACTCGAAAAGAAATGCAATATATCGCTAATTGGCAGGAAGAACGCCTTAAATCTGAAACCAAAAATGATGAGAAAAATTAAATTTTTATTAAGGTATATACCTAACCATACATATAACTCCTTCAATATGCATAAAAATATAATAAAACTAAGTACATACTTACATACCATATTTCAAGTATTTTATCTTGTACAGCGTTTTACATATGTACATATATGTATATACCTTAAGACATGTTGAATCTCAGATTTGTAATGAATTCGCATTGATATGAGGACAAATTACATATGTACATACATACATATACTTCATAGAAAGTGCATTGCAAAAAAAGTATTGTGTAAATGACACCGTAAAGTAACAACAGTTATTTAAAATTAAGGTGTGGTCTCACACAAATATTTATTGTCGCAGATGAGTTTGCGTATGATGAATTCACGGCGATTACAACACTTTCACATACGAGTAGATTTATACAAACGTGCATATGTATAATGTGTGTGCATTCAAGCATTACAGCAAGTAATGAAAAGATAAATCACAATTCACCGCATATGAGTAACACCAAATATTGTACGCTGTCATGCATGACAGTCAATCATTTACATCAATCAGCACAGCTAGTTTAATTCACTGCATCAAAACAGGACTGCAAGCTCGACCATTCAAAATTAATTTAATATCCAATCAATCCTTTGTCTGTCGACAGCAGCCACGCCTGTCTTTTCAAATTGTGTTTGCAATATTTTACTTATGAAAATTTTATCTTTATTAATATTCGGTTATTATTCGCAGGAGTATTGTATGTAATTTAGTTTGGTTGATATCATCAAATGGGGCAATTTTTATGAATTACTCTAGTTATTTTTAATAGAGTTGTAATGCTTCGTTGCTCCACTGTATTGTGTTTAGCAAGACTATTTTGTACGTATATTTGAAATTCCTGCCAAGCCAATGGAAATTGATTTATTTAAAGTAGCTAGAAAAATATCGATATTTTTATCGACGTAACTATAAATATTAATATCGATAAAATTGTTCTTATCGCTATCAATAAAACAGCATACTTGCCCTTATGATTACCGATATACATATTTCGAATATATTCATCGAACTCTTATTCGATATTGTAGAACATTGTCGGAATTATTATAGACATAACTACTACCACTGCTTGTGTTATCACAATCAATAAATAATATTTGTCCTTGTGGTTACCGACATATGTGTTTATCGATATCTTACTACCGATTCCGATATCAGTGTCGATAGTGCATACCAGTCTGAAATTTCTTGTGTTTTCATTGATGTTATTTATTTTTTGATGTCATAGCATATGTATGTATATTGGGAATTGTTATCGATATAGCTATCACTATCAGAAGCGACAAACTTACCGTTTTGATATGCTTTTCGTTATGGCTATCAATATACTTATTTGCCCCCGTGACTACAGACAAATTTATCAATATTTTATCAGCGACTCCGATATCAGTAGATAGCATATATGCAGATGTGATTTCATATATACCTATCGCAATTATTTTTGATCTCATAGAAGATATCGATAAAATTATCGATGGAACTGTCATTATAAGCATCGATTTATTTATCGCTTTTGGTATGCTTGATCTTATGAGTACCGATATATTTGTCGATAACTCAGTACAGGTTTCGATATCAATGCATGTTTAAGTATAAGAGTAAATGTTATTGACGTCACATCCTTAAACAGGCCGTACATAAGCTTACTACACTTTAATGGCATCCACTTCGGCCTGAAACCGCTCCAGCTCTCAGGAAGCCGGATCGTAGTGAAGAGCTCATAGCCGAGTACTCCACTCCCAACGCTTCCATAAAGATTCAACCCATCCATGAACAAGTTCACTACTCCCATCCTCTAAGCTTTAGGCTTAGGTCGCCCAATATTTTACGAAAAGCTTCCCCGCAGTTATTTAAGCGATTTGTGTGTCAAACAATCAATGTTATCAGTATAA